ATCGGATGATAAAGTGCTACCGGAAGTTTGTTTAATATCATATTGTATCTGTATATAGTACATTCCCATGCTGTAATGCCATGTACCTTGGGAGAAAATAAAAAGAGATCTGTTCTGTTCAGTAGTAAAACATGTATACATTCAAATAAACAAATAAACTCTTAAATGAACAGATCCACTCAACCAGTGCAAAGTGCACATGTAGAGATTTTCACAATAATTACATATTTAAAGCTAAATTTATTTTTAAGTACATATAGAAAAGATAGATCATAGAGTAGGGAATCAAACATACATTTAGGGAAATAAATATATCCTTTAATATCTTTCATTGGAAATCCTCGGAAGAGTACATGTATATATGGCGATAAAAAAGTTAAACGCAAAGCAAAATTTCATTTCTGTATTCGTATTGTGATTTCACTAAATGACCGGGGACAACGTTGAATTTAAGGAAAACAACGTATTTTTTAATATGTCAGACTGGTTCAAGACGTATAATTGCATGTATTTTTAGGAGTAAATGGATGCAAACAGGCAAAAAGAAGAACTTCACATTAACTTCAGAACAACTTAAGAATAAAGTATGAGGTTGTTTTTATAAGATTTTCTGGGTTAAAATAGATCATAATATAAGAAATTATACCTACAAGATAGGCAATACACGAAATCATAGCTTAAGTTGGGAAACCGAGACGGGAACACACGCATACATGCATACATACACGCGAACAATCACATCTATATAAGGTTGAGAAGCCGGGCAGGGAACACACATACACACAAAAAAAAAAAAAAAAAAAAACGGGAGCGGCAAAATAAAGACGAGTTTCACGAACTTCACTGATTTCGCAAAAAATCATTTATCGAGATATTTTTTATGGCAACTTTACTAACAGATAGGCTATTTAACAGATTGCATTGAAGGAAAACAATTACACTTTATAATATGTATAAGTGGCAGTTTAGATATATGTATATAGTAAGCAGCAGTAAAATATCGTCTGCATATCCTGAGCAATGTCGTAGATCACGGCGTATTAAAACAAATATCTATTCTTACGAACCAAATTTTACAATAAAATATTATATATTGTAGAGACGAATGTATACGTCAAGATACTGAAATACATCTTAAAACAACTCTGCCAGTTTGTCTGCTATAATACACATATTTCAGGAAAGTCGGACAATGCATATAAAATCGGTGTATTTCATTCTTTTATTATCAAGTTTGCCATTATTTATTACGCTATCGTCATGAAACATATACCATATTGTAGGGACATCTGAAAAAATTAAAGTCAACTAAAGGCAACACTAATTATATTTGTCCGTTTAAGCGTGATATTGTCCAGAAATACATTCATTACGGGGGGGGGGGGGCACTCGCGCGGCTAATAAAGAAAAACAGTGTTTTTCTTGATATTCAATTCTTACAAAGGACGTTAGTAACTATGTTTCTGTTGCGGAAACAACTCTGTCCGTTTGCCTGCTAAAATAGCCCCACTAACATACATAAATTCTAGAAAAGTGGGACAATTCAGACAAATCCGTGTATTTCATAATTTTCAATAATCAAGTTTGACTTTATTTGTTAAGATGTCTTTTTGAAACACATTCCATATTGTAGGGACACATGTATTCTGTAAGATAAATAAACGCGATTATAAATATATTTGTCCGTTGTTCTATGCTATAACTCAGAAATGCAGGGATTATTCGGACAATACAAGCAAATCGGTGTTTTTCATAATTTGTAATTTTTATGTGTTGATTTATTGAGAAAAGTATCTTCATTAAACATAAATCCTATTGTAGGGAAACATACGGCGTATATACATTACGATAACTGAATGCATTCCTATATATATCTGTCCGTTTTTCTATGATAGTGAATAGAAATACATTGTTAAATAAAATAAAAATAATTATAATTTTATGATTTGTTGATAAACATAAATTGATTTTTTGAGATATTGATAGAATATAAATATTATAAAAGAAGCTCCGCAAACATTTGTTCATAAGAATGGAATAATAACAACAACCACAACAACAACAATAATAATAATAAAAAAAATAATAATAATAATAATTATGATAATAATAATAATAAATAATAATTAATAAAGTAATAATAATAAGAATAATCATCATCATCATCATCATCATCCCTGTCACAATAGCACTACCACCATCAATAATAATGATAATAATAATAATAATAATAATAATAATAATAATAATAATAATAATATGATCATTATATATGATTATAATAATAATAATAATAATAATAATAATAATAATATAATAATAATGATGATATATGATGATATGATATAATAATATAATAATATGATATATGATATAATATATATAATAATAAAAATAATAATAATAATGATATAAAAATAAATTAAATAATAATAATAATAATAATAATAATAATGTAATAATAATCATAAGAATCATAACATAGTTATAATAATAATAACATTAATAGATAAAAAATAATAATAAAAAAATATAAATGAAAAAAATATAATAATAATAATAATAATAATAATTAATAATAATAATAATAATAATAATAATAATAATAATAATAATAATAATAATAAATAATTATAATAATAATATAACAATCGTTAATAATAGAAAAATATATATTTATAATAATTATAATAATAATAAAAATAATAATAATAATAACAATAAATAATAATTATAATAATAATAGTAATTGTAATCATAATAATCATAATTATATTAATTGTAATACTAAAAATAAAAATAATCAATATAATAGTAATTATAATAATAATAATAATTATAATGATAATAATCATTATAATAATAATAATGAATAAAAGTAATGATTATATAAATTATAATCGCATCATGGAATTTTATTCTTCTTCCTTGTTTTCATTATTATTTTTATTATCTATTATTATTATTATTATTATTATTATTATTATTATTATTATTATTATTATTATTAATACTATTATTATTATTTATCATCATAGTTATAAATAATTCGTAATCTCTTATTAAAAGGAAATCAAATGTATAACTGTAAAATAATTTGAAAATGAATCATTTGATGAAAATCCAGTTGGATTTTTTTCCAATAACTTTTATTGGAAAAAAATCCAGTTGGAATTTTTTCCAACAAAAATAATTGGAAATAAATCCAATCGGATTTTCATTTTTTTCAAAGCACCTTATTGGTAATTCAGCGTGTATAATTATGTTAATTTCTATCGAAAACTATCATTTGCCTTTAATTATTATCGTTTTTATACTTTTTAAAATTTTTCTGTAAAAATCCAGTCGGAATTTTTTCCAGCTTTCAAAATGGGATTTTTTTATTTTAGAGAATAAGTTCTTCAAAAGTAGTCAGAAATTCATTAAAGGATGTATGAATGGTTATTTTTATAGTTTAAGCATTGCTGGAAAAATTGAAATTCCCGTTGGAAAAAATAATAATGTTAAAAAAATTCCAATTGGAATATAAGTAAATTCCGGCCGGACAGCATAATTCCGGGCGGAATACATGAATTTCCGCCCGGAAAATTTATTAAAATACAATTTTTGATAAGAAAAAAATTTAAAATAGTTTCAAATGAAGTCAATTATTTATAATTAACATTAAATCTATCAGATGAAATGATTTTTAAGTGTTTAGGGCAATTATAAATGGTAGTGAAGTTTGCCACTATCCCGGTGGTGCAAAGATTTTCCGGTGGCTGTTATAGTAAAAACTTAAAAAACTTTCTTTTAAAGAACCCAAAGAGTTAGAGCTAAGATATTAAGCATGAAACATCTTCTAATGAGTGTCTACCAAGACTGTTCAAATGAAAGCCCTGGGGTCAAAATTGGCCCCGCCCCTGGGGGTAATTGATTTTCCCTATATGCATCAAGTAAACTCTTAAAAAATTTTCTTTTAAAGAACCCAAAAAGCTAGAGCTAAAATATTTAGCATGAAACATCTTCTAATGGGTGTCTACCAAGTTTTATCAAATAAAAGCCCTGGGGTCAAAATTGGCCCCGCCCCAGGGGGTCATTGATTTTCCCTATATATGCATATAGTAAAAACTGAAAAAAAAATCTTCTTTTAAAGAACCCAAAGAGCTAGAGCTAAGATATAAAGCATGAAACATCTTCTAATGAGTGTCTACCAAGATTGTTCAAATAAAAGCCCTGGGGTCAAAATTGGCCCCGCCACAGGGGGTCATTGATTTTCCCTATATGCATATAGTAAAAACTTAAAAAATCTTCTTCTAAAAAACCCAAAGAGCTTAAGCTTAGATATTTGGCATAAAACATGTTGTAATGGATGTCTACAAAGTTTGTTCAGATAAAAGCCCTGGGGTCAAAATTGGCCCCGCCCCAGGGTTTCATTGATTTTCCCTATATGCATATAGTAAAAACTTAAAAAATCTTCTTCTAAAAAATCCCAAGAGCTAGAGCTTAGATATTTGGCATGAAACATGTTCTAATGGATGTCTACCAAGTTTGTTCAAATAAAAGCCCTTGGGTCAAAATTGGCCCCGCCCTGGCTGACATTGGTTTTCCTTATATGTGTATAGCAAAAACTTAAGAGTCTTCTTTGAAAAAACCCGAATAGCTAGAGTTTAGATATTAAGCATGAAACATTTTCTAGTAAGTGTCTACAAAGATTGTTCAAATAAAAGCCCTTGGGTCAAAACTGGCCCTGCATTTCAGCCCCATGTGTGTTTTTAACTATATGTGTAAAGAAAAAAACTTGACCAGCTAGACCTGAGATGTTAAGCATGAAATATCTTCTAATTGGTGTCTACCAAGTTTGTTCAAATAAAAGCCCTGGGGTTTAAACTGACCCCGCTCCCGGGGCCTATATACAGGTTAGTGACTTCAGGGCCATCATGGCCCTCTTGTTTTGTAAATTTAATCTAGATACACATAGATTTTTGTAGATTTGATTTAAATGTTTTATTTTTTACCAGGCAAGAGAAATTGGTAGAAATTTGAGGCATTCGCCAACTTTAGAGGTAGAAGATACAGATCTTCATCAATACTTCATAGTATTTCAACAACTTCTTTCTGATGCCGGATATTTAGCTACAGACGTGCATGCACAAAATGCCAAACAGAAGCTGATAGATGTAAATATGCACACTTTTTTAGTTAACCATACAAGTTGTAGTTTAAAATAGATAATGTTTTATAAATGCACAAAACATTGCTTTACTGATAAAGATAATGCCTTATGCACAAAAACAAATCATTTTAAATTGATCACTAAGTATATTCTTTAGCTAAAGGTGATTATTCGGTTTGTGTTATTAGCTTCACGAAGAAAACAGAGCAGTTTATGCCGTTGTATTTGCCGTTGCCGTCCAAAAGCTTTAATGTTGATCATGATGTTCTTATTTTTAGCTCACCTGTCACAAAGTGACAGGGTGAGCTTTTGTGATCGCTTTTCGTCCGGCGTCCGTCCGTCCGTCGTCCGTAAACTTTTACTTTAAATGACATCTCCTCATAAACCACTAGGCCAATTTCATCCAAACTTCATAGGAATGTTCCTTTGGTGGTTACCTTTAAAAATTGTTCAAAGAATTTAATTCCATGCAGAACTCTGGTTGCCATGGCAACCGAAAGAAAAAACTTTAAATATCTTTTTTTAAAAAACCCTAAGAGCTAGAGCTTAGATATTTGGCATGAAATATCTTCTAGTGAGTGTCTACCAAGTTTGTTCAAATAAAAGCCCTGTGGTCAAAATTGGCCCCGCCCCAGGGGGTCATTGATTTTCCCTATATGCATATAGTAAAAACTTAAAAAATCTTCTTTTAAAGAACCCAAAGAGCTAGAGCTAAGATATTTTGCATGAAACATGTTCTAATAGGTGTCTACCAAGTTTGTTCAAATAAAAGCCCTGGGGTCAAAACTGGCCCCGCCCCAGGGGGTCATTGATTTTCCCTATATGCATATAGTAAAAACTTAAAAAATCTTCTTTTAAAGAACTCAAAGAGCTAAGATATTTAGCATCAAACATGTTCTAATAGGTGTCTACCAAGTTTGTTCAAATAAAAGCCCTGGGGTCAAAACTGGCCCCGCCCCGGGGGTCATTGATTTTCCTTTTATGTGTATAGCAAAAACTTAAAATCTTCTTTGAAAAAACCCAAATATCTAGAGTTTAGATATTAAGCATGAAACATATCTTCTAGTGAGTGTCTACAAAGTTTGTTCAAATAAAAGACCTGGGGTCAAAATTGGCCCCGCCCCGGGGGTCATTGATTTTCCTTATATGTGTATAGCAAAAACTTAAAATCTTCTTTGAAAAAACCCAAATAGCTAGAGTTTAGATATTAAGCATGAAACATCTTATAGTAAGTGTCTACAAAGTTTGTTCAAATAAAAGCCCTGGGGTCCAAACTGGCCCCGCCCCAGGGATGTCATTGTTTTTAACTATATGTGTATAGTAAAAACTTTAAAAAATCTTCTTTTAAAAAGCCAAATGAGCTAGAGCTTAGATGTTTAGCATGAAACATTTTCTTATGGGTGTCTACCAAGTTTGTTCAAATAAAAGCCCTGGGGTCAAAATTGGCCCCGCCCCTGGGGGTCATTGATTTTCCCTATATGCATATAGTAAAAACTTAAAAAATCTTCTTTTAAAGAACTCAAAGAGCTAAAGCTAAGATATTTAGCATCAAACATGTTCTAATGTGTGTCTACAAAGTTTGTTCAAATAAAAGCCCTGGGGTCAAAATTGGCCCCGCCCCGGGGGTCATTGATTTTCCTTATATGTGTATAGCAAAAACTTAAAAAATCTCCTTTGAAAAAACCCAAATAGCTAGAGTTTAGATATTAAGCATGAAACATCTTCTAGTAAGTGTCTACAAAGTTTGTTCAAATAAAAGCCCTGGTGTCAAAACTGGCCCCGCCCCAGGGGTGTCATTGTTTTTAACTATATGTGTATAGTAAAAACTTAAAAAAAATCTTCTTTTAAAAAGCCCAATGAGCTAGAGCTTAGATGTTTAGCATGAAACATCTTCTAATGAGTGTGTGGGGGGGTCTATATACAGGTGAGCGACCTCAGGGCCATCATGGCCCTCTTGTTTATAAATGCACAAGAAATTGCTTTACTGATAAACAGAATGCCTTACGCACAAAACAAATCATTTTAAGTATATTCTGTAGCTGAAGGTGATTATTCGGTTTGTGTTATTAAATTGACGTTTACAAAGAAAACAGAGCAGTTATTCTATAGTCATGATGCCGTTGTATTTGCTGTTGCCGTCCAAAAGCTTTAATGTTGAACATGATGTTCTTATTTTTCAATGGCTTGCCTTCCTTTTTGGACACAACAACCCTTTATTTATCGACTGGACTTAAAAATGTATCAAATATTTGACTTTTGCTATACGTGGATATTACTTTGTTATGTGTTCCAAATTGCCTGCTTTTTAGCTCGACTTTTCTATGAAAAGGGGAGCTATCCTACTCGCCCCGGCGTCGGCGTCGGCGTTGGCGTCACACCTTGGTTAAGTTTTTCGTACCACCCCACTTTATTTCAGAAGTATTACAAGTATGGCTTTGAAACTTACCATACTTGTTCACCATCATAACCTCCATCTACAGACAAGAGTACATAACTCTGTCAAGGTTTTTGACAGAATTATGGCCCTTTTTTGACTTAGAAAGTGTATTGAGCTTGGTTAAGTTTTTTGTACCACCTCACTTTATTTCAAAACCATTGGAGGTATTGCTTTGAAACTGACCATACTTGTTTACCATCACGACCTTCATCAACAGACAAGAGGACATAACTCTGTCAAGGTTTTTGACAGAATTATGCCCCTTTTTGACTTAGAAAATACATTGAATATGGGTAAAATCCACTTATTGCCTTAACCCTTTGAGATATTGCTTTGAAACTTTTAATGCTATTTCACATCATTACCCCCATCTGTACGCAAGAGAAGGTAACTCTGTCAAGGATTTGTTTTAAAAATTAAGGCCTTTTATCGACTTAAAATCTTGGTTAAGTTTTTATTATGTCATTTACCAAGGTGTTCTGAGTGACGTAAAAATACCTTATTCTCTCAAAGTGGGTTTAATACTATTAAATGTATTTAAGGCTCAACTCAGTTTTTTTTTCTTTCTTACCAGCCCTCTTTTGACTTAAACATTTCAAACTTTGCTGCAGTGTTCAAGGGTATCACACAATTCAGTAAAATAATTCTTCACTAAATATCTTAATGCTCATGGCCATTGTTCACTTTAAAAATACAGAGATTCTTGTATTGCCTTTTACTGCAAAAACTTTTTTTATTGGCAAGCAATAAAAAAGTCGAGCGCGCTGTCTTACGGACAGCTCTTGTTAAATTTTGCTTTTGACGTCCGGCGTGTGTAGTGCGTCGTGCATTGTCAACAATTAGATTGTAAGCAAACACTCTACCAGTCACAGTATTGATTGGATCTTCATCAAACTTTGTCAGAATGTTTGTCTCAGTAAAATACAGGTCATCAATTCAACGTTTTATGGTTGAATGATATTTTGTTCTAACACTTTAATGAAAAATTGTTTTTACTGTAATGAATTTTGTGTCTCCTGCAACATGCAGTATGGCTATCATCAGGCAACACATGTGATCACTAATCACTTTTGTATAAAAGGAATGGGATAGTCTTTTTAGCTCGACTTTTTTTTTAAAAAGTAGAGATATTGCTATAGTCGCGGCGGCGTTGCCGTTGCAGTTGCCGTCCGCAAACTTGTACCTGGATCATAACTTTTTTATTTCTTGGTGTATTGTCTTCATGCTTGGCCACAACACAACAACACTTGGGACAAGACCTTTCAGTAGACCACACTAACCATGACCTTCATCCATAAATGACCTTGACCTTCAAGGTTAAAAGTCCAAATTTTGCTTGTTCTTGCTGTTATTGGCTCTAACTTTGTTATTTTTGAATGGATTGTCTTCAAACTTGAACATAATAATCTTCAAGGATAACCCTTAAAAATAACCAGACAGACCTTAACCTTCACTCATGAATGACCTTGACTTTGAAGTTCAAATTATTGAAATTTTCATTGTTTTGACTGTAACTGGCTGTACCTTTGCTATTATTGGAGGGATCAACTTCATAATATTATAACAGAACATACTTAAGGACAGGACCTTGTTGTTTATCAAACACTTTGGCTCTTTAATGACCTTGACCTTGAAGGTTGAATTACTGAATTTCCTCAGATTTGTGCATTAAATGACCATCTATATATCAACATCATAATCATCATTATCATCATCATCATCATCATCAACAACAACAACAACAACACGTGGCACCACCACCACCACGTGTCACCACCATGTGTCACCATGGGCCAACACCACGTGTCGTCACCACCACATCATGTCACCACGTGTCAACACCAAACGTAATCGCAGGGTGTCACCAAGTGTCAACATCACATGTCACCACGTGTCACCGTCACCACCTCCACGTGCCAACACCACATGTCACCACGTGTCATCACTACGTGTCACCGCCCCCACGTGTCAACACCACATGTCACCACCACCACGTGTCACCACATGTCAACACCACATGTTGTCACCACATGTCACTACCATGTGACATCAACGTGTCAAACACCACATGTAACCACATGTCACCACTTACCAAGTGTCACCACATGTCACCACCACGTGTCAACACCACATGTCACCACCACGTGTCATCACCACATGTCACCACCACCAAGTGTCACCACATGTCACCACATGTCACCACATGTTACCACCACATGTCACCACATGTTGCCACCTGTCACCACCACGTGTCAACACCATATGTCATCACCACGTGACAACACCACGTGACATCACGTGTCAACACCACATGTAACCACGTGTCACCGCCACCACGTTTCACCACATGTCACCGCCACCACGTGTCACAACCACATGTCACCACCACGTGTCATCACCACCACGTGTCATCACCACCACGTGTCACCACCACGTGTATCTATTTATAGAATTTTCTATTTATAGAATTGCATGTTTCTATTTATATCTAAATTAGTATATTTATATATACAAAATATATAGACAAAACTAATGTGACAAGACAGACCGATTAAATTTATAAAAAGGAAACGTTAAGATTTTCTTTGTTTGCTTTTAGAGAAAGTAAAAAGTCGACCGTTTCCCCCGCCCGGCGGTAGCTCTTGTTATATTTCAACTGTTGACCAATTGGAATTATAACAGTTCATCTGTTGGAATATACATGTGTGGTCAATTCAGATCATGTTTACAATGAACAAATAAGGATCATTATCCATCATATCATTTTCATTTGCACATAATAAAGTCAAGAGAAACTAAGTTATTCACTTTTAGCATGGACAATTTAAAAAAGGAAACCACGGAGGTACAAATGCCAATTATCCTTAGAATTTTTGTAAACTTACAATTTTGAAATGATGATATATATATTTTTAGTCCCCTACCGGTTTACCGGAGGGGACTTTAGGTTTACCCTCCGTCCGTCTGTCCGTCTGTCTGTCCGAGCAGACGAGAGCTACATTATGAGGTTCAGGTTTATGTACAGGCACTCTGTATGGGGTTCATTCCGTAGAGACATGTATTATGTGGTTAAAAATGCTCTTATGGGGTTAAAAAATTTGCTCTTGTGGGGTTAAGAGATCAAAGGAATAACACGTCTGCTAAGTACGTCCGTCGGTCCGTCCGTCCGTCCGTCAGTCCGTCCGTCCACAAAACTGGATCCCGCGATAACGCAAAAAGTACTGAAAATATTTTTATGAAACTTGATATATGGATAGATGGCAGTATGGAGATTATGCACGTCTTTTTCTTTTCTTCCTATGTTAAAAGTTCTGGTTGCTATGGCAACAAATAGACTGAAAATATGGCAAATTTTACACATAACCTGGATCCCGCGATAACGCAAAAAGTACTGAAAATATTTTTATGAAACTTGATATATGGATAGATGGCAGTATGGAGATTATGCACGTCTTTTTCTTTTTTTCCTATGCTGAAAATTCTGGTTGCAATGGCAACAAATAGACTGAAAATATGCCAAATTTTACACATAACCTGGATCCAGTGATAACGCAAAAAGTACTGAAAATATTTTTATGAAACTTGACATATGGGTAGATGGCAGTATGGAAATTATGCACATCCTTTTCTTATCTTCCTATGTTGAAAATTATGGTTGCTATGGCAACAAATAGACTGAATTTCAAGATTTCTGATTCTAGTTTTTAAGTTTTTTCACTATAAGTTCTTTATTTCTTAAGGTATTTTCTTCAAACTTTAAATATAAGTTGCTAGTCATCAACCACATCATATGTGACAAGGTTTACAACTCTAGCACAAAATTTATTAGAATTACCTCCCTTGAACTTAAAATTTTCATGAAAAAAACATTGTTTTTTTTTTTAATAACATCTTTTTTTCTGAATGTATCTACTTCAAACTTCATATAAATGTTTCTTATTATCACTCAACATTTTTGAGTGTTCAATACTCTAGCAAGACTATTTCCAGAATTATGCCCCTTTTGAACTTAGACTTTTTTTCGAGAAATTGGTAATTTTTACTCCAACTTCTTCAATCATGATAGGATTTTCTTCAAACTCCCACATCATAATAATATGACAAGGTTAATAAATCTAGCATCCATATTTCCAGAATTATCTCCTCCTTAATCTTTTAATTTTTCCTATTCGTTCTTTTAACTTTCATTTACTTCAAATTCAAAATAAACATTCAATATTCATACCTTCATTACTAATTGTTCTTTGTTACACTCACATCATGTATGACATCGTTATCTACTTTTTAAAAATTTTACTTTTAAAAATGTTATATTTTGATAACAGGGATGTTTAAAAAATAACTTTAGAGTGTTCTTCAGTCCGTCTGTCTGTACATAAAAACTGTTTCCTGTGATCACTTTTAAAGATTTTTTTCAACAAATTTACTTAAAATAGAAACATAAGTGAATGGCCAATGGCCCCTCAGAATGTTGCTTGGGCTCTTACCGGTAGGGGACTTATGGATTGCTTGCAATACTATGATAATTGCTTGTTTTTTTATGAACATATACCATTACATTATCGTTTTTTCTGTGACTTTCATAATGATTACTTACTCTACTATCCATTAAGGAAGAACACCCCTAATGGGCACTATAATGAACTGTAAAATTGACAACATAGGACAGTTATATGCCTTAAAGGTCACCTGTATGCAAAATTTAAACAAAATTTCCGTGTGGTTTATGAGTAATGGACATTTTTTCTGAACTAAAACTTTGCCATTAGAAGGGCTTTTTTCAAACTTTAAATAATCTATAATACATGTACAATGTATCATCATTATGAAAAATGTTTTCCTATTGCTCATTGTTAAGAAACAAATAATGACATTAAGGTAACAAATTAAACAAGCATAATGATTGTTTATAAACGAAATGTTTTTATTATGTATAAAAATGTAACCCTACCCCACCCACTTTTAACACTGATTTGACCATTTCCCTATGAAAAAAGCCTTATTTAAAATATCCCTAAAATTTACTACAATGAGGGGCTGTTTTCAAAGTTTGCCTAAATTTTTTTAAATGTATATTGGCTGGTCTTGCAAAATATAAAATAATTTTACGGTGTACTTTTTTATTTTATTAAACTTTGAAAATATCTGGTATCATATTTGCTATTAAATTTGGCATTGTAAATTCAGTAAATAAATACCTTCAATAATTACATAATTAAAATGAAACACTTTTTTCTTCCATTAGGGATCTGAGAGATTAATAATAAATGTTAAAAAGAGAAAAAGAAAGAAAGAAAAAAGTTTCCCCTTCTTGGGTTTGAACCCTCGCCCCTCAGTTTCAGTACATTTAATTAAGTCACTTCACAGTGATTCTAGCCTATTTGAATACTCTTCAAAGTGGAGATAGTGCATTAGGGGTGTACTACCTTAAATATATGTTGCATATGTACCATTTTAACATTAATTGTTTTTTTATACAATGTAGTTAGAAAATGACACCATGGTCATTGGAAAAGATGACATAAGGAAAGTACTAGATGATGTTGCAAAAGCAGCTCGTGACACTATAAGAGTAGAAAAAGATGACCTAAAAAGGACGTCTGAGACTGTAAAAGAAGATATGATTAAGAGAAGAAAAGAAGATCTTCATTCTCTTGGCTCAAAAGCTAATGAAGAATTACAAAAGATACAAACTAAATCTGATGATTCTTTAAAAACAATTAAAACTGAAACTGACAAAAGCGTCAAAGACATAGAAAAGGCAAGAGACAATTCAGTTCAAATAATGCATCAAAAGAAAGAGGACATTGAGGAAAAGGTAAAAATACAAAGCAAGAGAATAAGAGAAGAATGTGAAAGAGCAGTTGAAACTATCAGAGAAGGGAAAATTGATTTAACCAATTTAGCAGAGACTCTAGAAAAAACGCTCTACACAAGGATTAAGGAAGACAAGGAGAAACAGTACATTGATAATAAACAAAGTAAGTACAGAAGTCTCATTTTACTTTATATGTCCACGAGTACAGCGTCCATCCGTCCTTCTGTTCATACTTTCTTCCATCCAAACATTGTGTCCAGTCAATAACTTTGCATTGAATTTATGCTTTGATTTCAGACAATTTTATACAAATGTTTTGCTCAATAAGGCAATGTCTTGCACACAAGATCTTAGTATGTTGCTCGAAAGGTCAAGGTCAGACATTGATTCTTATAAACTGAAATTTGTCATAGTTAATGTACTGATGTTCGTTTCCTGTCAACAATTTTGTTATTCCTGGATGAATTTCAAAATCTCTATGCATAAAAGTGTTGAATATTATGACTATGTGTCTCGCCCAAGAATAAGGCTCATAACTTAAAGTTCAAGGTCACTCATAAAGAATAAATGTACAGATATACATCTTTAGCTTGTCTTATTTTTCGTCTGTCCGTTCGTCTGTTCTTTTGAATTTGAAACTACCTAGCAGAATTGTTAACTATAAAGAGACTATTAGCAGAGCGCATGTTTGACCTTACTCCGGTCAAAGTCAATTTTTGTAACAATTTTGTGTCCGCTCTGTATCTCATGAATCAATAGAAAGAAATTTAAACTTTTTGACAGAAATATTACTTATGCAATGAGATGATGAGCAGAAATAACTTTGGGCTTCCTGAGATAAAAAAATAACTGGCCCTGTCCAAGAAATTACTTGATTTTCATTGTGTGAAACTATAATGTGTGGAGCTTAAATATTAAAGATATTGTAACTCAATTTTTTATGGTTTTATATCATAAATATAATGCTCAAATATTGCTGTAAGTACTGTAATTACTGAAATTACATTTTCATGTTTATAAAGGGAGGTAATAAGAAATTTATTTTCTATAAAGTCTATAAAGTCTAAGTCACATTTCTCAATAAGAAATTAATGTACATATGTTAATGATTACATTTAATGTGGACAAATATTTGCAATACATACTTTACATATTCTTCAATGTTTGAACATTGTTTTAAATGCATATAAAATTGCACTTAAGTGTGATATAAAAACCTTAGTTACAACTTACAGGATCTTTAGCATGTAACATTACTGTAAAATCGAGAATTGTAGATGTTTTCTGTTAAAAATAGTCAAGAATGCGCAGATTTCAACACTTTTCTTTATTCTCATTCATGGAATAATATATCAATGTGATACAACAATGCGATTCTCTGAAAATAATATATAAACAAACTAAATACTGATTACAACGCATTTAAAATAAAATACAATTAATTGTCTAAATAATAATGCTAATATATATATACGATATCACCTTTACAATTATAGACTTAAATCTATTAAAATAATATTGTTATTTTTTATTTCCGCAAATAATTCCGTTTATAATTTAATTCACGGCAAATATTGTAAAGTTCATCATCATTTAAACAATATTGAATTTACTATTAAAATTCATACATAATTAATAACTTGCTTACCGATTATGATCTACTTTCCATTAGAAAACATCAATAAACAAAACACATCAACAATTTAAGCACTTGGACGTATATCATGTCCCTAGGTACCGCCTCCGTGGTCGAGGGGTTAGAGTCGATGACTTCTAATCCAGTTACCTCTCTGGCGTGGGTTCGATCCCCGGGAGATGCTTTGGTAGTTTAGCGCGGAGGAAGGTAGTCTAGTACTGGTGTAACTCTCCAGGAACGATGGTTAGGAAACTACCCGCCTATATGACTGAAATACTGTTGAAAAAGGCGTAAAATGAAACAAACAAACAAACAACGTCCCTAGGTTCGATATTGGCCCTGTCCAAGGGGTCACTTTATTGTGTCGCCTTGAAAAGGTGACATATAGGGGTTACTTTTGTCGGCGGTGTCGGTGGCGGCGTCTGTGTCGGCGTCGTTGTCGGTGTCGTTGTCGGCGTCGTTGTCGGCGTCCCCTAAAGCTTGTCCGGAGCATAACTCAGTCACTATAAGTCTGATTGACTTCAAACTTGGTATGCATGCTTTTTTCAATAACCCGAAGTGCAGTGCACAAGAACCGGTACTCTGCAGTTCTTATTTTTTGAGTTATTGCCCTTTGTTAATTTTCATACTTTAATTTTGTCCGGGCCATTTCTCTTCAACTAAAAAAGCTATGGACTTGAAACTTCATAGGATGATAGATCTCATTATTAAGAAGTGCAGTGCACAAGAACCGGTACTCTGCACTTCCTAATTTTTGAGTTATTGCCCTTTGTTAATTTTCATACTTTATTTTTGTCCGGGCCATTTCTCCTAATGTATAAAAGCCATGGACTTGAAACTTCATAGGATGATAGGTCTCATTAAGAAGAAGTGCAGTGCACAAGAACTGGTACTCTGCATTTCTTATTTTTTGAGTTATTGCCCTTTGTTTATTTTCATACTTTAATTTTGTCCGGGCCATTTCTCCTTAAGACTTAGTATAAAAGCTATGGACTTGAAACTTTATAGGATGATAGATCTCATTATTAAGAAGTGCAGTGCACAAGAATCGGTACTCTGCATTTCTTAATTTTTGAGTTATGGCCCTTTGTTAATTTTCATACTTAATTTTTGTCCAGGCCATTTCTCCGAAAGTATAAAAGTTATGGACTTGAAACTTCATAGGATGATAGATCTCATTAAAAAGAAGTGCAGTGCATAAGAACATATACTCTGCATTTCTTATTTTAGAGTTATTGCCCTTTGTTGATTTTCTTACTTTATTTTTGTCCTTGTCATTTCTCCATAAGTATGAAAGCTATGGACTTGAAACATCATAGAATGATAGATCTTATTGATAAGAAGTGCAGTGTACAGAAACTGCTGCTCTGCACTTATTATTTTTTGAGTTATTGCCCTTTGTTATTTTTCATATTTCATTTTTGTCCTGGCCATTTCCCCTAAACTACATTGTTCACAAGGCGACACATCCGACTCGCGGAGTTCTAGTTTATATAGACTTATATTGGAAAACACATCAAAGACTTATTGTGTGAAACAACGATGCCAATGGCTTAGATACTTTGTAATTTAACATCTCTTTGTGAACCGCACAACAAATGGTATAAATCTTGCCCCTTGGGTCTAATTGGCCTTACTATATTAGATTTATTTTATGTAGTTTTATATAGGAAAACATATTTTAGTCTTATTTTGGTGAAACTACAAAGTCTAGAGTTTAGATATTTGCCTTATTGGCTTCTACAAAACAGATATTAATCATGTCCCTGGGGTCAATATTGGCCCGCACCGGGGTCACTTGATTTATGTAAACCTATATAGGAAAACCACATTTAAGTCCTATTGTGTAAACCTACAAAGCCGGGTTCCCAGATCTTAGATATTTGACATGTAGCATCAATTTGTAGATTGCTATAAAATCTAAATGACCCTCGGGTCAAAAATGGCCCTGTCCGCGGAGTCACTTGAATTATGTAGACTAAAGTATAGAAAAAACACATCTTTTTGTGCCTCTATATATAGCATTGCCTTGTAGACCCCTATAAAAGTTTTATTAACCATGCATTGCACTTTGGAGATCATACAGTATAATAAAGATTAAACAAGCTTTTTGATTAGCTCTCCCATAATGGAATAATTATGTTTGATTATTCAAATATAAATTTTGACGTATGCATGCCTTTGCGGTGCTCTTGTTTAAGTTGTCGGTATCCAAAATTAAATGCCTTCCCGCTCAATCAGTCCTCTGATCGTTGGACGTATACGCAGCACATTCCAAATTTATGCCACTTTCTGTCTTGACCTAAATGAACTGCTAGGCTATCCTGGTCGTCAGAAAACTTATATTTCTTTTCCAAATACAGTTTCCCGTTCACTAAATATTCCCTTTTGTTTGTATCTATCATTTTGATTTTGTTTCAAGATAAATGGCAGAACTAAATAATTTAACGAACTTTCCGCCAGTTTGTTAACGACATATCCAAGCTAGAAACACTAGTTACACCTCACAATGGATATTGTTATTTTAAAATGGCAACAATAAGATTAGTCTATGTCAAACTATGTCATAGTAGTACCAACATATCGAACTGTCAATGCGCTCTTTTTACTTGTATTGTTCTTGAATGGAGACATATGATAATTATGTACTTAACATATGTCGCAAAATATACGAGGCATTCATGTTACTATGTTTATAACATGGCATGATGTACTTGCAATATTAACTAAATATAACAATTTTTAGCTCACCTGTCACAAAGTGACAGGGTGAGCTTTTGTGATCGCTTTTCGTCCGTCGTCCGTCCGTCGTCCGTCCGTCCGTCCGTAAACTTTTACTTTAAATGACATCTCCTCATAAACCACTAGGCCAATTTCATCCAAACTTCACAGGAATGTTCCTTTGGTGGTCACCTTTAAAAATTGTTCAAAGAATTTAATTCCATGCAGAACTCTGGTTGCCATGGCAACCGAAAGAAAAAACTTTAAATATCTTCTTTTAAAAAAAAACATAAGAGCTAGAGCTTAGATATTTGGCATTGAAACATCTTCTAGTGAGTGTCTACCAAGTTTGTTCAAATAAAATCCCTGGGGTCAAAATTGGCCCCGCCCGGGGGGTCATTGATTTTTCCCTATATTGCATATAGTAAAAACTTAAAAAAATCTTCTTTTAAAGAACTCAAAGAGCTAAAGCTAAGATATTTAGCATGAAACATGTTCTAATGGATGTCTACCAAGTTTGTTCAAATAAAAGCCCTGGGGTCAAAATTGGCCCCGCCCCGGGGGGTCATTGATTTTCCCTATATGCATATATATAGTAAAAACTTAAAAATCTTCTTTTAAAGAACTCAAAGAGCTATGGCTAAGATATTGAGCATCAAACATGTTCTAATAAGTGTCTACCATGTTTGTTCAAATAAAAGCCCTGGGGTCAAAATTGGCCCCGCCCCGGGGGGGGTCATTGATTTTCCCTATATGTATATAGTAAAAACTTAAAAAATCTTTTAA